GAGAGTCTGACAAACTTAATCAAACCTTGACAAAACTCTCCGGCTAAACGGGTTTTCTCAACACGTACTAGAAAGCTACTCCCGTCATCTCCTTCTACGCACAATAATAAACTCAACAGGCCAATTAGAGCAAAGAACTTATAAACTGGCGCTAATAATCCGTAGAGACGTATCATTGGTCGTTGCATGTGACCATGAGTACTGAGGTCGCAGTCTTTTGACGCATTAGTAATGTTACGTAGAAGTGACATGCGAGTCTTATATATTGCTCAAAAGCAATAACCTGCTTTCTGTGAGGAAATTTGGCCCTTCTGTGACGGAAACCAAGGAATTGAATTACTCTATATGGATACCAATCAGAAAGTAAAGTTTCATCTCACGATAGCCGATCAAAACAGTTTCAGGGATCAGTTTTATCTCCAGAATAATCTTACCTTAATCTCTTTCAAATTCAATCCCTTCCGTCCAACACGAGATTGAAAAAAGCTCTCGGACACATTGACTGTACTTGCAAATAGCAGAAGCGTGAAAAACAGCGCTTGAACTTGGGCGTTCATCATTTTCAGGTTGCAACGAGCGAAACTGTTGGAAATATTACGCTTCTTAACGAAGATATAAATAGCTTTGGCCAACTAAGAAATACGCTCAGTTACTGCTTAGCTTAAGTATTTCAATATGTGGTAATTAACACTGATTGCAGGTGCTATTGTGTTATTTAGTGAAATGAGCATCGTGCGCAACAAAAAAAAAAAAAAAATGGAGAAATTGAGAGAGTTATACCATATCACGAGTCAACTTCGAACCTGAGTTAAATTCGAGTCATGAGTCAAGTTTGAGTCAAGTGTTGGAATAAAACGCTTATTAAAGGGTATAGATAATTATGGCCGAGTTAGAACGGCGTTCAGTTACTACTTAGCTAAAGTATTTCATTACGTGCAATTAAAACTGTTTGCAATTTTTATTGTGTTACTTATTTTGATAAGCATCGTGTGTAAATGGAAAACAAATTAAAACTTCTTTGCGGGAGATATCGTATTGTCTTGGCATTATTTAGGGCTGCCCTAACTTCAGCTCTCTTCCATTTTAATATTCAGCTTTCTTTGTTGTTTTAGTCTCCTTTGACTGAAGTAAAAACAAGATTAAAAATATCCGAGAGCTACCTTTTAACGCCCCCCTCATTGAGACGAAAAAGCCGCCCTCCAATCTCCTCAAAGACAAACAATTAACGACTAATTGGCCTTTTAAACATGAAACTTAATTTACAAACAATGCTTAATTTAAAACCCGAAAGCTTTTTACTGCACGGAACCAAGTATTGAAAACTGAGTGAGGAGTTCCAGACTACATAAGCAACTCTTAGTTTGAAACTCCTACCGACAGAAAAACAGAAAAACACGAAAACAGAAATGTTAATTTAATTTTAAAGCTGAAAAGGAAAAAAACAGTGACGATTATCAATTGCAATGCAAACTATTTGTACAGACTTTCTTTGTTTACTTAAGCTAAAACAAAAAAGCTTTTTAGTAATGATATCATATTTTAAGTCTTGTTTTATCATGCCAAATAAATTAGAAATGCTTTAAACCATTTTATTTTTAGTTTTTGAGAGCCATTATGCAATGTGTGTACTTAATACTGTCCGTTTAGACTCTGCGAAGCATGAAGTTTGGTGTTCATCATTTTCAAGTTGCTACGAGCAGAACTGTCAGAAATTAACCGCTTACTAACGCGGGTATAAAGAATTATGGCCAAATGAGAATTGCGCTCACTTACTGCTTAGTTAAAGTATTTCATTGTGTGGCAATTGTGTGTGCACGCGTGCTTGCCCTATATAAGTCCTATATATTGAGCGGCTATGAACAAAATCTTTATTTACGCACGCCCTTCAGATTTTCCGTCATGTTAAGCTGCAGTGAAGTTTTCCTTCTCTTTGTAATATGGAAGAAACCAGCACAGAACTGCCCAATTTTCTATCGGCATTGACCGTTTATGTCCTGATCTAACAAGCAACAAAAATAAAACCGAAAAAAACTCGCAAGTTGACTCTGACTTTTGAAACTTTTTTTAGTGACACTTGAGTTCATTTGGCTTTGATTTTCTCCATTTTCCCCGTAAATGTTTAGCTTTTCATTCCCAATTCTCGCTCAAACCAAAGTTTAAAATGTGGCGTGTTTTTGACTAGCCAATAGGGACGTTTGTTTACTTTTTTTGTGCGTTGTGAGAATTTTGCACTCTACCACAATAAAAGGCATATTCGCGCAGATTCTTGTTGTCGCTCTGTTATAAAAGAATTTGTTCATGCTCTTAGCTGTGCGTATATCGAGTTATGGATGCACTTGGGAAGTTTGGAGAGCATTCAAAAAGCTAGAGTTGCTCTCGGCTGCGCTACTCTTACGCATTTTTCGTGCCCTTCAAATTTCCCGCGTGCATCCATAACTCGATATACGCACGCTAAGCATGAACAAATTCTTAATTTTCCACAGATTTTGTAACATGGCTCGCTTCGAAAATTTTTAACAAGCGAAACCCGTATATCACAAGAAAAACGCGAAAAGTTTGGTGAAAAAACGTTTTCTAGAGGATAATATTTATGCAGTGTAGTAGTAATAGTGTTATGAATGAGATCATGGCGGTGGAGGACGAGAATCAGTTTTACACGCCGAGTCTAGACAGTTTGTCGTTGAATGAGGACTCCTGCCTCAGGTGCGTGTAATTAAAAAGAAGTCGGAATCTTTGGGGTAAACTCGTAAATACCTTGGAATGTTTTCTTCTAGGGACGCAGCTGTGAAGCGGTGCAGAATTAACCCTCGCAAACGGCCGTGAAAAACGTTTTAAGCTTAAAACTAGGTGTTCTTCCATTCCAGGTACATCATTTTGACTCAGAAATCAAAACAAAAACAAAAAAAAAGAAAAAATTTAAGGCAAAAAAGGGAACTATTTGAATTCAGTGACTTGAACCTTACTCGTGACTCGTACTTGACTCGTGATATAGCATAACTAAAGTTGAGCACGCATTAAAACCTCTTTGCGGGAGATGTCTTATTGCTTTGGCAACATTTGTCACATCTAGGGCTGTACTAAACTCAGCTCTTTTCCATTTAAATATTTAGTTTTCTTTGCTGTTTTATCATCTTGCGATTGAAGTTAAAACAAGAGTAAAAATATACCAGAGCTTCCTCTTAACGTCCACCTCGTTCAGACGGAAAAAGCCGCACTTTCATATTTTCAAAAACAAAGAATTAACGAGTAATTGGCCTTTTATACATTAACCTTTGCTCACAAACAATGCTTAATTCAATACCCGAAAGCTTTTCACTGCACAAAAGCAAGTTCTGAAATGGAGAAAAGAGTTCCAAAGTACACGAGGAACTCTTAGTTTGAAACTCCTGGCAAAAGAAAAACATGAAAACAGAAAAATTGAATTAAAGTTTTAAGGCTGAAAAGGAAAAAAACCGTGATGATTACCAATTGTAATGCAAACTACCTGTACGTACATTGTTTACTTAAGTTATATTTATTACAAAAAAGCTCTTTAGCAATTATACCATCTTTCAAGTCTTATTTTATTATCCCAAATAAATTAAACATGTTCTTAACCATTTTTTAAAATTTTTTGAGAGTCATTATGTACTGAATACTGTCCCGATTTAAGCTCTGCGAAGCAATTAAATGAAAATAAAAGGAGACGGTTTTTCAAGAAACGGTGTGGGGTATTACCAGATAATTTGATTTTATCAACTGAATTGATAATTTTAAAAAGTTTCTAAACCAGGCTTCTCGAGCGTTACAGTCCTTTATCAACGCTCTGGCAAGCTTCGTCGGACAAAATCTGTAGAATTTACTGTCTCAAACACACTATTTTTTTTTTAAATAAGGACGTTTAATTTTTAGGCTGAGGCTGAACGTTCTTACTTTTTATTTTTGCAGTTTGAGCCTAAAAACGTTCTTAAAGTTGTTAGGTATAGTATTTCATGATAAATTAATTCGGACGTGACCAGAGTAAGTTCGATTACCAACTGAGTTGTTCTTCAGTGCATCTCACCATAAGAAAACTGCGTTGTTCATGTTAAAAAACGCCCCTAAGTATTTAAGTCAATCGTCCTGTTAGACCACAATTTAGCTCTTCTTTTACCTTAAACCTCTTACAAAAAAAGAGAAAAGAAAGATGTTCTTAACTGACTCTCAGCCTGGTTATATTCTTAGTATGTTCTTAAAATTTTGTTTAATCTCAGCCTGGACGTTCTTAAAAGAAAAAGAGTGTCTTCTCCCAAAACAACAGTCGTACAGTGACTTGATTCACCTCTCACGGAAATCCGTTGTCGAGTTTTGATCAAATATAAACAGTTGATATTCTCTGGGTTTTGATATGTTTCACACTGTCTTATTAATAGGGCGCTATTGTTCAAAGCGAAATCCAGTGCCTACTGGAGAAGCATTGAAGAGAAAAACCTATCACAAACCGTCTCTTTAAATTTGGCAGCGAAGGTTTTTTTTTTCACTTCATTCAACCGAAAGCTAGCTTCATGGAAGGAAAACAGAAGGAAAGTTCGTGGTCCGATATTCTACCACAGAGCGAAATAGAACCCCATTGTGAGAGACTGGGTCATGGACTAAGTTTATACGTTACAAACGTCCTGCATGTCGAAATGGTCGGCAATTTCGGAGGCATTGTGAGTGTAAATAGAAAAAGTTGGTAAGTTTTGAGCTAAATGAATAAAGGGGGTGAGTTTCTAAAGAAACTGTGGTGCTGCGTCGGTGGGAGAGTATAACAGTGTCATTAAGTATTATCAACTGAGTTGATAACGTAGATTGGCCATGGTAAAGAATTTAAACGGCTGATGTCTCGAGCGTTAGTCCTTCGTCAGAGCGAAACTTACACAGGCTCTTTTAACAAAATGCTCTGACGGCTTAATAGACACTCGAAAGTGTCGCTGATGGTAAGGTTCAATTTTTCAAAAATGAGCGTCAGATTTCAATTTTGGATCGCAGATGGAATCGCTTGTTTAATGCATGAAGAATCCAGCTTACTTGGAAACGTTTGAATACTTGAGGAGGACAAGAAAGTTAGATGACTAAATTAAAAAGTAAATATTTAAATCATAAGTCTACTTTACTTTTCAATAAAATTTTCAATACGTGTTAATGGTTTTTTAACATTTAATGCAGTATTTACAATTGTTATTTTTTCCACTGCCTAGGTTAAATTAGATTCTCAGAGACAGCACTGTTAAGCTTCCCTGCTTCAACTTATCCTCATCATTTTCCTTTCACGACATTACAGGGGACGAACGCGTACAAAATCTGCGTCCTAAAAACAAACAAAACAAGATTATAAAACATACCTGTTTTTCTTCGTGTGTGTGGCCCTTAAGCCGCAGGTGGGCATGTAATCAAAGGAGGAGAGGGAGCCTGAGGGGGAGGGGCAGGGGCTTATACCTGGATTGCACATCATTCAAAATAAGTAAGGAAAAACAAAAATAACAACAACGGAGTTATTGTTTATTTACCTCTAAAGCGATTCGACGGTTTTCTGTTTCATGTGGTTTATCACTTTTTCCTCTGGACAGCTTGATCAAAGAAAATGGAGACGAAAATACATATTTTCACACAGTGTTGTAATCAAGCGAGCAACGCAAGTAAAGTAAAGTGTGATATGCATGATTTAAAATAATCAATCCAAAGATAATATGCATGTCGAATGAGGACCAAAAAAAACTTGCTGATTTGCTACTCGTATGCAAACGAACCCAGACCTCTCGATCCGGTATCCAGCACGTTTTCCATTAGACATCTAGGTTTCGCATATTTTTCCTCTTCAAAAGAAATTATTTTTAGTGCATGCAAGAGTGTGCGTGTAGGCGCGCGTGCCTGGGAGCGTGTGTGAGGGCGTGCGTGCGCGCGAGTGTCCGTGTGGTCTTCCGTCTGATTGCTAAACTCTCGTTCGTTCGTTTTTTGATCGTTCCTCGGTTCGTTTATTCGCAAGTAGTTCGTTTACATCCATTTACATTTGGAAAGAACCTTTTGCAGCCCTCTTGTTTTTCAATGATGGAAATGAGGAGTTTAGTCACCAGGACAACGCGTCTCGGTCACCCTTTTTTTTTTTTTACAAGTAATAATTTACCTTCCCAAAGAATCTTTTGCGTCCAACACAAAATGGTGGCTTGCAATCCCAAAAACATTCGGCTCGGCCCACTAAGCAAGCTAGGAATACAGCAGTTAGCAATAACATTTGTAGTTTGGTGTTCATCTGAAACACAACGGAGAAAATTCATGATCGGAGATTAAGTTTCTACTAATTATCTTGGATGTCTTGTATAAAGCAACTGAGCGAGTGAGCAAGTAAGAACGTGCAAAGTGTTTGACAAACGTTTCCTCGACAAAAATATTCAATTGAAATTCAGAATGATCAATTCGATCCTCCTAAATTCTTCAAATGTTTAAGTCATTTTTTCTTGAAGCCTTTCCAGTGTTCTGAGGGATACTGCTACTTACAGTTATTTATTAAGAACATTTCATATATTTAGAAATACTTGCCGCCACTTAGATCGAAGTCTCCTCCTAAACGAAATGTTAGTCCATTGTAAGTCTGCTCTAGCTCATTAGCCTTGACTAAGGAAGGTAAGGAATAAAAATTATTTCAAACTTACCTTTCCTGACTTGTAGAATTATCTTTTTCTCCAATGCTTAGGGCTCACTAAACTCAAGGAACACAAATACTGTTCCCTTCCTCTTCGACGGATCACGATTTGCACGTTTGCCAAACATGACAAAAAATCAAAATAGCCCTGTAAATATTTATACCCGAACTGAACGTATGGTTAAGAATGAAAGACAGTGTTAGCAATTGTAACAGTTTAATTTCCGATCTAAAATGTTTTTTCTCCGATTTCCGAAGTGAAATGTCTCATTCACCAGCTAATTTCCGTTTGTTGTTGCTCTAAGAGGAGATTTGCAAAGGCAACAGTTAACACAGTCATCTAACTACAATGAGTACACTTAATTAATTGTGACTGTACTATTTGCTCGGGAGACATACAGCTGCTTTAAGAAAAAGAATAGTAATAATCTATATCCGAGTACTTCAGTTTTCAACTGGTTTTGTCGTCGTTTTCTTTTTTTTTTTTTTTTAAGAGAAAAAGAACCCAAGTTATTTTTCATTATAAACAGTGATGAATAAACGAAAAAGACGATCGATCTTTTCTAGAATTGACTTTTCAGGGAATATTATTTCAGAGAAATGTAAAGAAAACAAATAAGATTTTGAAATTAGACATTTACTTCAGAACTCGGTAGCTTGAGAATCGCCCGGAGATTTTAAAAATTTTACTCTCGTGTTTTGAAGTTTCTCTGCTTGAGGAATTTCTCTAAGACATCTCGGTAGTGTTTCTTTAAACTTTTGCTTGTAAGCTCCGATTTTGTAAACCAGTTATTCAAACACTAGCCGGTATCTTTCCACCGCTTCCTGGCGGTCAAAACTTTCTTGTCTGTCCGAGTTTGCTCTGAAGGCGTTTTGTTTCCGTTCAAAGGAGAGGCGTCCACGTTTCAAGGAGGGCTTGTGTAATTTACTTAAAAGGGTTTAATTTTGTTTACACGAAACGTCTGTTGGGCGACTTTAAATCTTTAGAAAATATTGCTATTCATTACTTTCTGTTATGGACCTTCAGCAAGCAGATTTTTTTTTTTTGAGAACTTCAAAAGATTTTTATAAGAACAGGCCAAAGTCGTGATACCAGAGGTGTATCGTCTGTCACAAAATCACCTGTACTTCACAAGTGAGACTCTCAAAGACCCGTTTGCTTAGTCGATTTAGAGCGTGGGGTAAGTTCAATTTTTTTTTTTGGATCAAACTGGTGTCGTGAGGGAGGGAAGTGAACCATACTTTTAAATGAAAACAGGCATACTGTTCGTTTTTGAACAATCGAAAAGCATATCGGTACTGTGTACTGGAGATGAAATAAAAGTGGACACAGTTTTCGACTTCTGAAACATTAGAATACTGCGCATACACGGGAAAAAAGTGCGCTAAAATTCCATTAAAATTTGAAAGGACAAAATTGACGGCTTCAGTAAAAAAAAAAACATCGGGGTTTAAATTAAATATGACCTCTCACGGAAAACGTGATCTGGCGTTTGTTCAGTAACAGGAGATAACAATTAGATTCGTAAGTAAGTTACAATCCCATTCACTCACCTTTTACGCCTTTATATCAGTATGCATGTTCTCCATACTTGTCCCTATATACTTACAAAGGTGCCGACAAAGAGAATTTATGACGATTAAGAGGTTCTTTAGGTGGTGATCATTTCCTTTATTCTCATGACCTACATATTTGATTCAGAGGTGATATTGTAAGGAGAATATAGATGTTAGTCACTCCTAGGGATCAAAGGGTTTTTGAAATTCCATTTAATCGTCTAAAATAATGTATACTCAAGTTGATATGCGCCTTAATATTATCAAAATGCAATAGGTAGCCGCACATAATTTCCAGATGTTTGTAAAGAAGAGAAAACTTGACAGTTGACTTATTAATATTCTGTTTTATATTTATGATAAAAACTTTGCACGTGTTGATTTTCACTCTGTTTCTGAAATTTCTGTCCATAGTCAATAGGCCATTTTACAGTTGTGTACTTAGTTGCCAAGCCTTTGATTTGGAGTGAGGCTGAAGGTGACCTTGTTGTGATAGAGACCAGTATCTAGTTAGCATGATAACAAAGTAATTTGCATTTGAAAAACAGTAATGTTTGTATCATAACAAGGTCACCCTTAGCCTCATTCCTGTTCAAAGACTTGGCAACCAAGCACACAACTGTAAAATGGACTATTCATTGAACTGTTTACATGTCTCTCTCCCAAAATGGTTTAGATGAGTTATAATCCCTTTCTGTCGTAGCAGCTCTTTCACGTGCCTCATTTCGACCTTAATGCATTGTTTTGAAGTTTTCTTTATAATGATTTTAAAGAAGATCAAAGTTGTTTAGTTATGTTTTCCCATATAGGCCTCTTACTTCTCAAGTTATTATCACACACGCGGCGCGGAAATGACGTTACATGAGATGTAGTCATGTCTCGTTGTGAGATCACAACGAGACCACTCACTTTTTATGGTCGGGGAAGGGGTGGGGGAGGTCGGCGGATTTTTTAGGGGGGATCACATGGTAATCAGGGGAGGAGGATCAGTCGTCGCTAACAGACCATAATGGGAGGGGATCAATAGACTACTAAAAAGCCTTAGAGGGGAAATCAGGTAAATTATTTTCTGACACAACCAAATTCCTGGTTTGAACAATGCTATTCTATAATTTGAATAGAATATTCAAGACCTTAAGTAAACCTCGAAAAAAGCACGCAGAATTGCATGAGTAACTCAGACTGAGAACTTTAATTGGATATGATCATGTCATTTTTGAGCTACCTATTTTAATTTATCATAGACTGCTGCTCAACATTATCTTGAACACGTGTAGCTTACAAGTTATTTTTCGAACTAACTAGACGGGTGATGTAGCTTAATTTGAAAACCTAAATTATTGACATTTTTAATTTACAGCAACTCCGAGTTTGGTACAATGAAACAAAAGACCACTATAAAGTAACGAAAAACGAATCCAAAAAAATATATATAACTTTGAAGTCATCTACTACTGAAAGAGGTCATCTTGAACAAAACTTTCTGTGGAGTTTTTCCTTCATTAGCTTTCATTCAAATTAGTTCCCCGTTGTTGGTCAAAGTCTTTCTCTTGCCTGTTCCATAACTGCGTAGAAAAAAAATAAGATAAACTCTATTTAGATATTATAGACCTCTATAGCTTGTGTGTTTTGTGTACTCTGTTCAGGTCACACGATAATACTCTAAAAAACTGTTTAAATTTCCTCTTGCACGTGTTTTTCCACCCAATAGGCAAGAGTCACGTGTATTTATTTTAGCGTAATTAATTAGTTTATAAGTTTATTGGCGGTTAATTGGACTTCCTAAAGTTCCCCTTTATACTAAAAACCGTTTGATCCACCCCCAACCCCCCCCTCCCCAACCCTTTCCCCCCCCCCCTTACCGATAATTAATAACTGGTCACTTACCGTATTTATTCGATTAAACGCCGCGGCGTTTATTAAATTTTTCGTGATTCGAGTGCGGCGTATATTCAAGGACGTCGTTTGTTAAAATACAATTTATTTCTTGCAAACAATAATTGACCATTTTAATTTTGAAAAACAGAAACATTTTTTAGTGCCTGTCCAAAAAGTCATTTTTTGTATTGTTCTCAATTTTACAATTTGCATGTTAATACTGCTGCAATACATAAAGGTAATAAAGATCTAATCGACATCAGAACTAGTGCATTCAAAAGGATTTGTGTGTCTGTTTCAGTCAAAATTTCCAACTGAGATCGAAGCAATGATCGCTGTGTGCTTTTTGAGTCTATTATTCTAATAAAAGCCGCACCATGATGCGGCGTGTATTTGAGGGCGGCGTTTATCGATGTTTCTTCTCTAAAATGCGGCGTTTAATCGAATAAATACGTAGCGGGAGCTTTCGTATTACTCGACGTGCTGAGTTTGTTATCTGTTTATTTATTTTTTATCCTGCTGCTCTTTCCCCTCCCCCAACCCCACAAAAATATTATATTTTCCGCATCATAGAGACTGATAAGTTAATTTCAAATTTTCAACTTCGATTAATTCATTTCTGGTGTTCTGATTGGGTTCACTCAACTCTGCCAGAGTTGAGTGATCGGGTTATCAGCTCATATTCCGAGTCACCTAACATAGAAATGTATTACGCCAATTGTTGCGGTTGCTGAAAAAAGCTCCGATCATCCAAACTTTCAGGATTTAATGAAAGTTATTCCATTCGCGCTTATTAGATTCGAGATTGGTTAAAGCCAAGTCGGCGCCTCGTTAGTTATTTGCCATCTCATATCCAACGCGATTACGCAAAATATTGTTAAATATCAACTTCTGTCCATTGAACATCCGGCTATATAACAAAAGATCATGTTTCAATGGGAAAGCAATTACTCAAAATAACAAAGAAAATTAATAAAAATCCTTGCGAATGCGAACCACAGGTGTCAATGATATGACAGAATGGATGCTGAAAATCCGGCTCTCAAAAGCAAATTGTCCACGTTATCAAAGAAATTATCTCTTATAATGTTTAATGCTGTCTTTGAAATCATTTCCAACTGGAGTATTGTGCATTTGAAAGTTAAAAAGTGAAGAGATAAGAAAGAATTTAAAGTGAGTCAATAAATGTTTTCGTCCATTCTGGCGGTCCACTTTATAGACGCCTAGAAGAGCTTGGCTTACTTAATTTAGTAAAGACATTCTTCTAACAAAATGAGCTGGCCTTGAAAGTTATCAATAGCATTAGAATTATGTCTGAAATGAAAATAAATAGAGATCTTATTTCAAAGCCCATCGTACCCACATTTTTGGCCAAGTTTCGTTTTAAGAGAAGTGGCTTACAAGACGAAACAAACTGTATTAGTGTTCTTCAATAGCTTGTGAACAGAATAGAGTGATCGCCTTACTCGAAACAAACGGATGTTTAGAGAGTTATTATGGGCAATGTTCAGTAAGTCAGTCGTTTTTGACTTTAAAACAATGATCTTTGTAAATTCTGACTGAAGATCTTACCTTGTCAAAGAAAATATTATCACTACGTTTACCAGAATACCATGGTCTATGCTGTAACATTTTGACTCCTTTGTTTCGAAACTTATGAGAGACAAATTTCTCTTCATCTACGTTCGCTACAAACGTCCAAA